CTTTCCTCCCGAGCCGAATCCCACGCATCCACATGGAGACGGTGGAGGAAGACAAGACGACGCCACAGATCTGACCTCTCGTCGATCATGTATTCCTGATCGGTAGGAAGGACCTCGTGTAACGAATATTTTCTATCTGTTCTGGATTCTGGCTTGATACGTTTGGAGATATTTGTCGGTTGGATTTTTGAGGGATAGTTGATGGAACGTAGTGGAAGTGTGGATATGGATGTTATCGAGAGGTGCTGATGATGGAATGTTATCGATAATTTGATATCTTGTTAATGTTATTTGGGTAAGATGAATGGATACTGTGGTGATTGAGATAGTCGTAAGTTTCATTCTTCAAATTCTAAATCTCTGATCATATTATCGGCTTGTTAATTTACTCAGTTTACTAAGTGTTCTCCTTCTGAATTCATAAAGATCGAAATTTACAAATTCCCATGTTTCTAAGATACTGTATTGTCAAATTTCCAAGTTTGTTAAATTCTCAAGATACTAGATTCATAAATTCTTAGAAATTCAAATCCTCAAATTTTAATATCCACACGTCCTCAAGTCCTGGAATTTCTATATTCTGAAATGATCAAATTCTTACAATCTTAAAGTCAAAAATTTCCAAATTCCTAAATTACTAAATTCCAAGTTCCTAAATTACCAAATTCCAAAATTTCCAACTTCTACAATTTCTAAATTCAAAAATTTCCAACTTCCAAAATTTTCAAATTCCAAAATTACCAAATACCTATATTTTCAAATTTCTAAATTACCAAATTCTTAAATTTCCCAATTCCTATATTTCCAAGTTCCAAAATGTCCAAATTTCTAAATTTCAAAATTCCAAAATGTCCAAATTTCTAAATTTCCAAATTCCAAAATTTCCAACTACGAAAATTTCCAAATTCCTAAATTTCCCAATTCCTATATTTCCAAATTTCTACATTTCCCAATTCCTATATTTCCAAATTCCTAAATTTTCCAATTCCAAGATTTTCAAATTCCAAAATGACCAAATTCCTAAATGTCCCAATTTCTAAAATTTTCAAATTCGAAAATTTCCAAATATCCAAATTTCTAAATTCCCATGTTTCCAATTTTTTAACTTTCCAAGTATCCAAGTCTCTATATCTCTTAAATCATCCAGACGTCATATTCCCAAAATTGCAAATGTCTATTTTTTTAAACACTCAAATCTTCACGTCCCCTATCTTAAAATTTTTCAAATTCTGCATTGGAGAAAAATTTGGTTCACCAACCCTGTATGTTAATTCAAATCCTACATTTATATTGTCCTAGTTCAATTCAACAATGATACTGTCCAAACTAAACTTACATTGACCAAACCATTCAACTTTCTAGTCATTTATTTTACCAAAATACTTTGTATTAATTGTTATACTTCTATTCAACATTGTTACCGTCCAAACTAAACTCAATTACATAGACCAAACTATTGAACTTCCTCATCATTTATTTTACCAAAATACTTTGCCTTATTTACTAAAAGTCCTATGTAAATAAACAGAGGTAACAATGATTAAAAAATAGTCAGTCTCAATAATTCATAATAATAACGATTTAAAGCTAAAGAAATAGAAACCAGTCCTCTCCAATAAAAACATTATAATCCTGATTAATTAACTGACAAGTCTAGTGTTGTCTAATGTTCGCTATAAAGGTTAGGATGACACATTTACACTTTAGCTTGTATACGTACAAAGTCACACACACGGTGTACGATTATGTGGAATGCTTTTCAGCATGGGAGCGAGAGCGTGGAACAGGTGTACGCTCGAGAAAGCATATACAGTACAGTCAACAGCAAATCTGGCTTCCCTAGCGCAAGTATGATATCCAAGTTGAAAAGAGCCTTCCACTCGATGATTTTCAAGGATTTTTTAAGATTCAAATTTAGAAGTAGGTTAACTTGGGTTAATTTGGAAATGTTGGAACATGGGAGTTTTTATATTTGGAGCTAACACAAATAACGATATTAGTGTCGTTATCTATGGATTTGTGGGATATGGGGATCTTGGGATTTTACGATTTCGGATCTAGGGACGTGGGAATCTGGGGATATGAGAATTGGACCAGTTAGAGATCTGATAATTTGGGTTCTGGGGATATGGGAATAAGAGATTTGAGATTTGGGAATTGGGGGAATTGGGGGAATTTGAGGAATTTGTGGAATTTATGGAATTTGATCAACTTGTGGAATTTTGGGAATTTGAGGAACTTCTGGAATTTGGAGAATTTGGGGAATTTGGGGAATTTGGGGAATTTGGGGAATTTAGGGAATTTGGGAAATGGGGGGAATTTAGGGAATTTAGGGAATTGAGGAAATTAGGAAATTTGGGGAATTGGGGAAATTTGGGGAATTTGGGAAATTGGGGAATTTGGAAATTGGGAAATTTAAGAATTTGGTATAATTTAGGAATTTCGAAATATAAGAATTGGAATAATTAGGGATTTGATAATTTTGGAATTTGAAAATCTTGGAATTTAGTAATTTTGGAATTTGGTAATCTTGGAATTTGGTAATCTTGGAATTTGGTAATCTTGGAATTTGGTAATCTTGGAATTTGGTAATCTTGGAATTTGGTAATCTTGGAATTTGGTAATCTTGGAATTTGGTAATCTTGGAATTTGGTAATCTTGGAATTTGGTAATCTTGGAATTTGGTAATCTTGGAATTTGGTAATCTTGGAATTTGGTAATCTTGGAATTTGGTAATCTTGGAATTTGGTGGAATTTGGAAATTTTGGAATTTGAAAATTTTGGAATTTGGAAATTTTGGAATTTGGAATATTTGGAATATTTGGAATTTGGAAATTTGGAAACACGATAATTTAGAAATTTGAAAATTCAGAAATTTATTGAACGATATTTAAAAAAGTTTAAGAAACTTATTGTGAAGTTTACATACGTGTCCCAATCGAAAGTAAGGGCGCATTGTACCCGAGTGTACACAGAAGAAACGATTGGAATTTACCGCGACGAACTTCTGACCCCGAAGCGTTTATTAGCCACGATCTATTGCTCAATGCTGAACGTGCGCCGCGTGTATGCTATCGCTTACAACCATCTGGACACTTCCTTAATTTGAAGAGTTGTAATGCAAATGATACTTGTCAATTATTTATTCAGCTACATTTAATTTACTTAACGGCAGAAAGGTGCAAATGAAATCCTCAAAGTCGCCGATAAATCTTTGAAAATGCTCGTAGAATTCTTGGAATGAAGGTGATGGTAATTTTGTCCTTATTTCTATACAGACGTTAGAGGATTATGTTTCTTTATAGAGAGATTAGCCGTGCCTACAAATACTTTTATATATTCGATTCTCTCTAGTTGTGTACTGAGTTTTAAGTTCGTCAACTTTTTCTTGAGTAATCAGAGTATATACATGGAGAGTATATTGCTGGCAAACGGTGAGAATGGGAATTTGATGAAATCCCTAAAGTATATGATCAATTCACGGAAGACGTCAAAGTAACTCTGTAGGGTGATTTCTCTGAAGAATGTAAGTGACTTGATCAAGTCCCTCAACAGTTTTAGATTCTGGTTAAGTTAGGTCAGGCTAGGTTTCTATCTCTTTACGGAAGATGATAAAATAACAACTATGTGGGGTGAACTCCCTGAAGAATGTAAGGTAAAGTGGGATAAGATCGTAAACGGGACAAGTGCGTATACAGGCTATTTTTATTACAATATGAGCGAAATTTCTCCATTTAGTATGTTTGTTTTCTTGTTTTGTTTCACTGTATCCGCTTTTATATTTCAGCTAAGAGTACTTGCTTGCAGTATAGAGTACTTGCATAATGCAGTAAAAAGCATTTTATACCAGATTTGTTAATAATTCTGCTCTTGTCCCATTGCACATGAAATAAAGTTTCAAAGTATTTAACTTCAAGTTACGCTCTTATCCCATTTTCGGGAAAAGTGCAGAGTAGTTGACATTTTAAACAATTGCCTTCCAAAATCAAAATGTACAAGGAAAATTAAGGTCCTAGTTAATATTCATTAAATAGTAGTAATTGTGCAAAGCGTTCGATATCGACAGCGTTAAGTATTTACATAGCAGACTGAAAATACTTACGTTTAAATACCAACTTTACAAAAACCAGTCTGCACTTACCCCACTTCACCTTAAGTGATTTGATCAAATCTCTTAACTGTTGTTAAGGTTAAGTTAGGTTATGTTTCTATCTCTTCACAAAAGATGTTAAAATAACAACTCCATGGGAGATTTCCCTGAAGAATGTCTCAAAAAATCTCCCAACTTTTAGAGTGAAGTTAGGTTTCTATCTCTTCATGACAGATGTGAAAATAACAACTCTGAGAGGTGATTTCCTTGAAGAATGTAAGTGATTTGATCAAATTCCTCAATTGTTTTAGGTTAAGATTAGGTTAGGTTAGGTTTCCATCTCTTCATGGAAGATATTAAAATAACAACTCTGTGGGGTGATTTCCTGAAGAAAGTAATGGAACTTGATCAAATCCCTCAACTGTTTTAGGTTAGGTTAGGTTTTCTCTTATTTATTTTATCAAGTACCTACCGTAGAAAAATGAGTTCCGGTATAGAAAAAAATCAAGTTGTCCCAATCTGAAGAACAGTTATTTTAACATCTTCCGTGAATTGATCATATACCTTAGATTTTTATCAAATACCTATTTTTATCATCCTGCGACATACATTCCATGAAACATCTTGTAATTTCGTATTTTTACAATGACTTTCTATGAAAATCCAGTAACGTATTATTTATTTATACATCTATCTATCGCTACATTTTTATTGTGTTCAGAAAATGTTGCTATTTATAATTAAGAACTCAAATAAAATTAATTTTAGAACTAGCAATTTAGAATTTATATTACAACATCAAATAAAAAGTTTAACAAAGATTTCGCACTTTGACGTATTATTGTAGTAAATGTTTAAACAAATAGAAATAAATTAATATTGTAAAAAGTATAATATTATTTTCACTCACCGGAACGATCTGCAGGATGGACCGACAAGTATAATCCTTTATTTCCATCGGGATTATTAACCCAATGTTGTAGAGGTTCGCTAACATTTAAAGTCAGCCATCCCTCCTTTCCTGTGGTTGTATTAACTGCATCCACGTATTGCAACTCTCTCGTTCTGTAATGAAATGAAAATAGAATTGTTTACAAATGAGTTTATGAAAACATAACACTTATAACATTTATTTTAACATTTGTTAATTTCGTACAAATTAGGGGATATTAATCTAATAATCTTTAACTATAAGCTCAAAGACAAATGAAAGAATTAGTGAAAAGTAAGTAACTTATTTTTAATGGGGCCATCTCCTAGGATTTTTAAAGAAAAATTTCGAATATAATGAAGTTGATACTGTAATAATAAATAATTTATAGTTGCCTCAAATTTTCAAACTTTGAAAATTTTCAACCTCTGAAAGTCTCAAATTCAAATACCTCTAAATTATTATACAAATGCTCTAAATTCAAAAATCACCAAATTTCAAACGTCCTGAATTCCAAAAGTCCAATGTCTCAGACGCATCAAATTTTAAATATCCAAATTCTGAAAGCCTCAATTTTCAAAATTCCCAAGTTTCAAATATCTCAAATTCCGAATATCCTAAATTCCTAAAACATCAAGTTCCAGATATCCCTAATTCCAAATAACTCAAATTCTAAATATCCCAAATTCCAAATAACCCAAATTCCAAGTATCCCAAATTCCAAATATCCCAAATTCCAAATATCCCAAATTCCAAATATCCCAAATTCCAAATATCCCAAATTCCAAATATCCCAAATTCCAAATATCCCAAATTCCAAATATCCCAAATTCCAAATATCCCAAATTCCAAATATCCCAAATTCCAAATATCCCAAATTCCAAATATCCCAAATTCCAAATATCCCAAATTCCAAATATCCCAAATTCCAAATATCCCAAATTCCAAATATCCCAAATTCCAAATATCCCAAATTCCAAATATCCCAAATTCCAAATATCCCAAATTCCAAATATCCCAAATTCCAAATATCCCAAATTCCAAATATCCCAAATTCCAAATATCCCAAATTCCAAATATCCCAAATTCCAAATATCCCAAATTCCAAATATCCCAAATTCCAAATATCCCAAATTCCAAATATCCCAAATTCCAAATATCCCAAATTCCAAATATCCCAAATTCCAATTAACCTAAATCCCAATTACCCCAAATTCCAAATATCCCAAATTCCAAGTATCCCAAATTTCAAATATCTCGAATTTGAAATATCCCAAATTTAAAAGACACCAAATTGCAAAAATCGCAACTTGCAAAACTGCAAAATTTTAAATATCCCAAATTCCAAGTATCCCAAAATTCAAACGTCTCAAATTTAAAATATCCCAAATTTTATAAACTTCAAATTGCAAAAATCCCAAATTTCAACAGTCCCCAAGTCCCATTTCGAAAATTGAAATTGTATTCTACATTCTACATTTTGAATCAAACCTAGAAAACTGTTCTTGAAATATATCTTCCATGCTCCTGAAGAATTCAGTCCATTCCTGTATAATCTTTGCAACTCGTTTCCCACTTATTACGAGCACAATTTCATAATAAATAAAAGACTGAACTTCGCAACATAGTATTACAAAATTACCTACATCATTTTGCTATTACACTGCTATTATAATTCGCTCCTATTTCGATTTGCAGAAAATCGATTAAAACAGGATCAGATTTTTTTCAAATCCTCTCTTTACTTCCACGTTATCTCTTGACAAACAATAAGTTGCAAATGTTGAAACGCATTAGCAGCTAAAAGCCACTTATGACGACTGTTCGATGCCACTAATATCTATCTGCAATTTTCCTTGCATAAATCAAGGAAACCTCGCGTTACTCATTACATTAACACGCAGTTCTGTGGACAACGATTACAGAATATTCATAATGTAGATGTCTCAGCAATGATCAAAACAAACACATTATCACCCTTATTATCCAGCTTTATTTTAATGCAATCGCATGGACGGTAAGGTCATTAACGATCGTTTGATCAAGGCAATCAGATCAAAGTTCAATTGACTAGTTTCTTTTGATACGATGAAACTTTCTTTTAAATGATATGTATCAATTGCACTATTATTTCAAACAAATCTTTGTGTGAATGAATTAATCAATTAATTAAAAGTGTAACTTCTCACTTGAAGTATGAACAAATTTTCGTAACATTTGTCTGATCATTTTCTTTATAACTGGGATCATGAAAATTATTAGTATTGTTTATTGCAAATTATATTATATATAAATTTATCCTCCTAGCTGTGATATTTGGTTAAAAATGTTTACACTGTATGAACTTTTGGTCCTAACAATCTTTTAAATAAAATTACACAAAGATATCAGTTTACTTATGTGAAATTTTAGTATGTTCTGTATTATGCCATCTTATTTTATTATTTCTGCTATTCATTTAGTTACTTTATTAACTTTTTAATTTTTGAAGAAAGTACTCTTATTTTATAAAGAAATCTAATGATGGTAATAAAATTCAAAAAGCTGCAAATTTCAAAATTCCAAACATCCCAAATTTCAAATATCCAAAATTGCAAACATCCCAGATTCCAAATATCTTAAATTCCAAACATCTCAAATTCCAAAAATCCTAACTTAACTTAAAAAATCCTAACTTAATCTAATATTTCAAAATCTAGAAATTCCAAATTCCAAATATTCCAAATTCCAAATATTCCAAATTCCAAATATTCCAAATTCCAAATATTCCAAATTCCAAATATTCCAAATTCCAAATATTCCAAATTCCAAATATTCCAAATTCCAAATATTCCAAATTCCAAATATTCCAAATTCCAAATATTCCAAATTCCAAATATTCCAAATTCCAAATATTCCAAATTCCAAATATTCCAAATTCCAAATATTCCAAATTCCAAATATTCCAAATTCCAAATATTCCAAATTCCAAATATTCCAAATTCCAAATATTCCAAATTCCAAATATTCCAAATTCCAAATATTCCAAATTCCAAATATTCCAAATTCCAAATATTCCAAATTCCAAATATTCCAAATTCCAAATATTCCAAATTCCAAATATTCCAAATTCCAAATATTCCAAATTCCAAATATTCCAAATTCCAAATATTCCAAATTCCAAATATTCCAAATTCCAAATATTCCAAATTCCAAATATTCCAAATTCCAAATATTCCAAATTCCAAATATTCCAAATTCCAAATATTCCAAATTCCAAATATTCCAAATTCCAAATATTCCAAATTCCAAATATTCCAAATTCCAAATATTCCAAATTCCAAATATTCCAAATTCCAAATATTCCAAATTCCAAATATTCCAAATTCCAAATATTCCAAATTCCAAATATTCCAAATTCCAAATATTCCAAATTCCAAATATTCCAAATTCCAAATATTCCAAATTCCAAATATTCCAAATTCCAAATATTCCAAATTCCAAATATTCCAAATTCCAAATATTCCAAATTCCAAATATTCCAAATTCCAAATATTCCAAATTCCAAATATTCCAAATTCCAAATATTCCAAATTCCAAATATTCCAAATTCCAAATATTCCAAATTCCAAATATTCCAAATTCCAAATATTCCAAATTCCAAATATTCCAAATTCCAAATATTCCAAATTCCAAATATTCCAAATTCCAAATATTCCAAATTCCAAATATTCCAAATTCCAAATATTCCAAATTCCAAATATTCCAAATTCCAAATATTCCAAATTCCAAATATTCCAAATTCCAAATATTCCAAATTCCAAATATTCCAAATTCCAAATATTCCAAATTCCAAATATTCCAAATTCCAAATATTCCAAATTCCAAATATTCCAAATTCCAAATATTCCAAATTCCAAATATTCCAAATTCCAAATATTCCAAATTCCAAATATTCCAAATTCCAAATATTCCAAATTCCAAATATTCCAAATTCCAAATATTCCAAATTCCAAATATTCCAAATTCCAAATATTCCAAATTCCAAATATTCCAAATTCCAAATATTCCAAATTCCAAATATTCCAAATTCCAAATATTCCAAATTCCAAATATTCCAAATTCCAAATATTCCAAATTCCAAATATTCCAAATTCCAAATATTCCAAATTCCAAATATTCCAAATTCCAAATATTCCAAATTCCAAATATTCCAAATTCCAAATATTCCAAATTCCAAATATTCCAAATTCCAAATATTCCAAATTCCAAATATTCCAAATTCCAAATATTCCAAATTCCAAATATTCCAAATTCCAAATATTCCAAATTCTAAATATTCCAAATTCCAAATATTCCAAATTCCAAACATCCTAATTTGCAAAAATTCCAAATTTCAATTATTTCAAAATCTATAAATGACAAACTCCAAATATTCCAAATTCCAAACGTCCCAAATTCCAAGGATCCCAAATTCCAAAAGTCCTATCTTGAAAAAATTACAAATTTCAAATATTTCAAATTTTTTAAATTCCAAATTCCAAATATTCACAGTTCCAAATATCCCTAATTTTACATATTTCTAGTTCCAAATAGTACAATAATAAAACCTAATTTTTTAGGATATTTCGAAACGTTAGAACAACCGAACAAGGTTAGAATTATTCAAACTTGTCAATTATTAAAATAATCTTGAAATATTAATTTGAATATAAAGTATACAATATTCCAACATGTCTCCCTCAACATTGCTCTCATTTGACCATACCATTTGTAGCGAATATATGACAGTACAAAATGTCACATTGAAATGTATTGTACTGTGTACTAAACATATTCCGTAAAAAGCAAAAACCAATATTATAATAAATACACAGTAGTAAAATATACCAATGAAACTTTACATCTTATTGAAATCTATTCTGAATATCTCCAACATCATTTTCCCGCTAAAATTTCCCGCCAAAACCTCCATTTTCTCGCTGAAATTAAAATTAAAGACATATACAACTACTTGTTTTATGTTATCAAAATTTCTATTTTAAAGTGAAGAAATCTATCTATTACGAAAATTGTTCGTTATCCTCGAATATCTTCATTGTATTTAAAAATTTGTATTCGAATAACTGTAACGATCAAGGGGTTAATTAAGTTG